GACCAATTTAATAGATTATTTAGTATATTAGAACAATATCTCTCATGCATTATATAGTTTCAAATATTTATAAAATTAAAATTAATAAATCAAACAACCTGTTAAAAAAAATATGTTATTTTATAATAAAAGTATCTATAATAAAATTTGTTATATAATATAAGTTTAAAACTATTACAAAACTTACATATTTACACTATTAAATTAGCCAGAAATATATCAAGTAAATCTTAAGATAAGGAAAGATAAAATGCACACTATTAAATTAGCCAGAATTATATTTGTTGATATATATCAAGTAAACTTACATAATATTTTTTATAAAATGCACACAAAAGATAATGAAAGTGAGTAGGTCTGAGTATCAGATTTTTGGGTAGATACAGATCGGTTCTTTTCAAGTTCAAAAAATTTGAACATAACTAGGTATTTGAAGTTTTTTGGTTCAAGTTCGAGTTGGTTCCCTTTAAATTCGGATCGGTTCGAATTCATAATTTAAATATCTATAAAATCTCTGTAATAGTTGAGTACGTAACGGGTCCGAATTGGTTTGATTATTTGGGATCCAAAAGGATCTGATATACCTAAAACCCCCAAAAATATTGAAACACGAAAAATACCCAAAATCCAAACAAATACCCAAAATATTGAAATTCCCAAAAAGACCCAACTTGAACCGATTCTTTTGACTCGAGAAATTATAAAAAGGTCCAGATTTTGCATACCCAAAATTTTTAAAAAAAATATTGAAACTTAACCCGAAATCCAAAAATTAAATCGAAAACCTGAACCCAAAACTTAAAAAGTATTTGTAATACTAAAAACAATTCTAAAATACTCAAATATATATACATAAAACATTTCAGGTACTTAGGTACCCGATCAGATCCCGGGTATGATCTTGACTCGAAAAGAGACCTGTAAATCCAAAAAGTTGAATATGTAAACCTGATGATGTTGATGTTGTACCCACGAAGTATGGAAAGTGCCAAACATTAGGAACAACCCGGAGAGGAGTTAGGAACATGAACACGAAGAAGTGAGAACCACTTAAATGGAGGAATCGTCAAAATACTAATTCAGAAATTTTGTATATAATCCAAATAAAAACCCGCGCTTTTATAGCGCGGGTCAAAATCTAGTATATGTTAAAGGTCCACAATAATATTTATGTAACTTCTCTAGTAATGTCGGTACATTCAAATAAATGTTGTGAAGAGAACTGTGGTGGTGACATTTCAGCATTAAAACTCAAATCACAATTTAAAAATGTTCATTCTTTAATATATATGAGATACTACTATTTATAAATTCTTGTGATTTCTAGGCAGTCCTCTTAGAGCAGCTGCAACGCTGGATACGTCAAGGTCCTTAGCATATAATCCTTAGATTATATGAATATAATACTATTATTTACTCTAATTAATTTAAGGATCAATTCTTAGAAAAGGATTTAAAAAGGTTGATCCTTATCTACGTGGCAGTGGCAACTTCAGGAGGAGAGTAGTTTCGATGGTTCCAAGAAGGAAGAGATCGCTAGCTCAGGCAACCGCCTTGGAGATTTTGCATCGACGGACTCTATCGAATCACGTTGGGTTACACAAGACGATGACAATTCAGATCACAACATAGACGATGACGACGATGACGAATTCTATGGAACCGGACTTGAATCAGAGGACGAGGAGATTTCAGAGCACCATCGCCTGATTCGTACCGGTCGCAAGATCTCTGCGTCGAAAGCAGCAAGCATCTCCGCTCTGGAACAGCTCAAGACCTCTGCTATTGACAGTACGAGTCTCTGCCTTCCTCTGTCTCTCTGTTTCCCAAAGTTTGAATTTTTAATTATTGACAGTACGAGTCTCTGCCTTCCCCTGTCTCTCTGTTTCTTTGAGCTTGTTCTGTCTCTTTTGTTTCCAAAAGTTTGAATTTTTAATCAGTTATTCCACGTTTTGATTTATGTTTGTCATCTTGGAGCTTGTTCCGGCTCTTTTGTTTCTAAAAATTGGAACTTTTAATGATCTCTTTATTGATATTCAGAGGTTGAGATGTCGTGTGCTGTACCGTGGTCTACGCTTCTCTCCTGCTATTGAAAGCCTTGGACAGGTTTGTTGTGGAATTTGATGTGTTGATTAAGAAATTAGGAAGCTATTTGGGGGAAAAAGAATTCCTTAAAGTAACTTTATATCACTTAATGGAGGAGGGAGAGTTTGTGATGGTTGAGGATTTATGAAAGTTAACTCCTTTTAGACATTTCTGTTCTGTATCTAAGTGTTTCATTGTCAAAGATTTATGAAAGAGACGATCAGAGAAGTTTGCACCTCTGTAGGAGTAACCATTGACTATGTGTTCTGTATCTATGAAAGTTAACTCTTTTTAGTCGTAGGGAGAACAATTTACGTAGAGAGAGTCTAGTTACTTATTGGTACAGATCACATGAAGAGTTAGAACAATGATACCACTGGTTCGTTTTGTATATTATTCACTCTCTTGAGAAATCTTTGTCTCCTTGATTTAGTTCCACTGCCAAGCACATGAATGAAACGTGATTCCCAATAATCCTCAGCATCGGCTTTCACATGGATTTATGAAAGTTAACTCCTTTTAGACATTTGTGTTATGTATCTAAGTGTTTTATTGTCCCTTTTTCTAATTCTTAAAGAGTTCATAAGAAGAAGTGTCATTGACTCTGTTTATTGTTGTTTACTTAACAGAAAAGTGAGTTGAAGGTGAAGGACTGTTCTTTTGCATATGGAGGAATCAACAATCCATGAGCTAACCAATATCTTCACACAACTAGCTTCCCTGGTTTCTCAGCAAGGGGAGATCGCTATCAGGTTCGTCAACACCAAATTGTGTGTAAGAATCATTGAACATTTTAGGGAAAAAAGTAATATAGTGTATTGTTGAAAACTGGTTCTGTTTCATGTTATATTTTTCTTATAAAAATGTTCATTCGAGGGAAAAGAAGTAATAGATAAAGTTTTAAATTTACATGTTTTACAAATTTTATAAATTTTGATTTCTAAGATTCAATTCAAAAAAAAAAAATCTAAAGATTCTATAACGGATAACACCATTGGACATACATTTATGATAAGAATTCTTAACTATTCAAAAAAAAAAAAAAAATTTAGTGTTAAGGACTCAAATGGTAGGTAACACCACTGTAGTTGCTCTTAGAGCATCTCCAATGTAAAACTCTATTTTTTCCTCCAAAATGGAGTAAAAGAGAATATGGAGTAAAAATGCTCCAACCTCACTCCATTTTCCACTCTATAATGGAGTGATGAACAAACAAAAAACAAATTACTCCATTTATGGAGTAAACTCTATTATGGAGTAGAATATGAAGTAGGGTTGGAGTGTTTTCTACTCCATATTCCCTTTTACTCCATTTTAGAGTAAAAAATAGAGTTGGGTTGGAGATGCCCTTAGAGCACTATTATCGGGGAGTGCTTAGCACAAAAGTCAAGGGAGAGACCACAATAAACACAAAAGTCGCTGCTTCAAGTGCCCAAAGAAGCGTCGAATTCTGCTTGTTACTTGGACTGTTCCACGGGCCCCACGACACGTGGCGGCCCGCGATTGATCTTTTTTCTATTTTTTTTTTTAATCCGAGAAAAATGAAAAAAATAAAAAAACAAAATTTTAAGTACCTTTTTTCTGAATTCTCGATAATCCTGCTCTTAGCTTTTTATTTCAAATTTATTATATATCAAACATATAGAAAACTAAGGTAATGAATGGTGTTAGCGGGATGGGACAGATTTGTAACAGTACACCCAAAAACGCACTGATAACACCAATCATGTAATTGTTTGTTTACTTTGCGTTTTTCGTAAAAAAATATCAAAAACCGTGCACAATTCCCCATACCTCACGACAAACAATACGCAATTGAAAACCGCATATACATGCAAATAGGTGCGTTTACTTAAATAACGCATATATCTGTAGCTTACTTTTTATTTTAACCGTAAAAACAAAATGCATGATAAAATAACTCATTAGACATTTGGGACTTTTAAAAGAACACAAAGACACGTATAACATATATGTATCCTAATTCTATTCTAGTAAATTTATTCTATCAAAATACTTAGCAAATTATTTTATCTATTACTAGTAAACAGCGATATTACTCCACATGGTTAATTCCATGTAATATATTATGTAATATATGTTGACATTAATGTTATTGCAATATTACATTAGCAAATATTTTTTGTAATTATATATAATTACATGTCTTTGTGGAAGGGATATAATTAAAAAATTAAAAAAATAATTTATGCTATTTTAAAAATATTAAAAGAAATTTATTTTATCTTTTAAATTGTTCAATTCCGCAAATAACATATTTTCACCAATCAACACAATTCCACACCGCTAATTTTACTAAAACCGCATTTCTCCCACAAACCATACGAATCGCAGTTAGACGGTCCCGTACTTTAATTCCGCACCGCTTTTAATACAAATTCCGTCGTCACCATTCGGATCCTAGGTGTGGGTGCGGTTTTTATCAAAAGTCAACTACGTAAGAGGTAATTTTTTCATTCGCGGTTTTGCTTTTTCATTTTAAAAAACGCACACTTTTCTGAAAATTTATTGATTGGTGATTCAAGAGCATTTTTCACAAATACGCACTGAAATACGCACCTACCGTTTCACCATTCATTACCTAAGTAATATGTCCGTTTTATGAAATTGTGTATTAAGCTTCTGGGAAATAAGGCAGACTAGTGTTTAAAAAAATAAAATTGTATTTTTTAATAATATTTCATTATCTATGTTACACCTCATCATAAAATATCTGTGCTCATTCAATATAACAGCCAAAGTTTCACAATTCAGAAATGGTTACAATCCCTTGAAGTAGATCCCCCTATATATGTGTTTCTCTATAAATTGTATCATTTCCTCAACGTTTTTGTTTGTCTCTTTTTGATTGCTCTAATAATCGGTGACTCAATACTGTTGAATCTAGTGTCATTTAAATCCTTCCTCCAAAACAAAAAGTCTTGTCATTTTCTTAAGAATTTCTGAACTTTAATCTTTAGAAAACTCTATTAATTTGCATTGTTTTTAGTTGCACTGAGATGGAGACACCAAATAGCTTAGAAAAGGCCAATGTATTTTAGTTTTAGAAAACATGGTTCTAGAATACCATTTTATTTAAAATATTATGGTAGTCATTACAATTTTATGATCATATATTTGGAAGTGAAATTGACCCGAGTTAATACTAGTCTTTAATAAATTATAAAATATGAAAGTTTCCGATTACCACTGTAAGCTGCTGATAAACCGACGAAAAATAAGCCCATCAGTGTTCTGTTAGGCCATGTACTCACTGGGTCTTACATCCATCAACGCCGAATATATATTTGATTAGCCAACATGCGTTACCACGCCGCATATAAACAATACACATTTCTCCCAAACGGTGTTATAGATCTTTGTATCATTTTTAAATCGAATGTATAACCGTGTTTTAAACCATGTAAACAAATGACTTACCATAATCTACAAAATCCTCAAGGTTCATGAGTTCATTTCTCAACAGTATCATGGTCCATAGTCACCATCTCCGATCAAGTTGCAAATATCCGAACACTCCACCAAGCTACACATAAACAAAAGTAACAAACAAGAATCATCTACTTATCTATGTTAAAGATTCATGCTGAGCAACAACCTTGAGAAGGTAATTTACCAGTAATTACGGCTACGAAATCCTTGTTTGAACACCACTAATGGCCTTTCATTCATAAGAGAATAAAATATCAGTAACGAAAAGTTATTGAAAAAGAAAGAAACATAGAGATAGAGAGATACCTTCTGATATTGAGCGGTCCTTCTCCGTCTCCACCACGAATACAAGTGTTGACGCATTTAACGGTGCATTTCTCTGCGTTCTTGGATTTGGGTCTTTGTATCCTCTGTTTCTTGCAGTCTTCACCTGATAGCGTTTGCGGTACGTTCGATAGCGTTTCGCCGTCTTGTGGCGGAGGAGGAAGCTCTGCGTAAGCTATGGAGACAGAAGCCATCATGATCGCTGCCGCTACGGCTCCAATAGCCCCTGTGGATATACGAACAGTGGCCGACCTAGTCACCAAGCGGCTTTGACACTGAGACCTACTTCGATAGTTCAAGAAACTCGTGCGGTCGAGAGAAGGAGACGGAGAGTGTATTATCATTACTTAACTAATGTGTTCTGGTCTTTTTGTTTTGTTTTGTAAGTTCATCAGAATCTCTTAGTCTTGTTTTCTCCAGAATAGATTAAAGCTAGTGGTTCTCGTTGAGACTCTATCTTGTTTATACACGTGTCAACATCTGGTGGCTTGAAATTTAGATACTGCTCAAACTCCCCTAGTGTCAGATTCTTGTGCTTACCGTAGTAATAAGAGATTCGACTAATACATGTCAAAAATTTGAAGTTTTATTCATTTATTTTTAAATTTTTTTAAATTTCACTCCTAAAACTCCATTAGACTAATTAATCTTAGAATATAAATGTATCTTTACTCTTTAATAAGACTTCTTTTGGTCAAAAAATGTTCTTTTGATGAAAAAACTATCTTATGAAGTTCTCAAATATTTATCTGAAAAGAATATTCAAAACCTAAATAATTTAAATAATCAAATTAGTTAACATCTGAACCATTGTTAACCAAATCCAAAATGAATTCTGATCCAAAATAGATTTTAGACAAAAAAAATATAAAATGTATCAGACCCTCAACCCTAGGCGGGTGTAGCTATTGTTGCTTGTAGCTGCAAAAATTACTAACCTAACATATATAAAACCTGAATGGACTTATAAGACTGAGCCTAAAAGAACCTGGACACCCAGGCATAGTTTTTCAGTCTTTAGCGAAAAATCAAACACACTTGGCCGGAAATCAAACTCATATCGATACAAGCAAACAATTCAATTACACAGCACAAAGCTGTAATACAAAGGAGGAGTTTTCAAAAGCATTATTAAGATCTCATCTTTTTATTTCCAACAGAAACAATATAGAAACGTTTTCCCGGGAAATAAACTTGAAGCAAAGACTGTTGTTTAAGAATGCTTTTCTATTAACGGTAGAGACTCTCTGATTTCAGATTCTCAGCAATCTCAGTCTCCCATCGATCTCCATTCTCAAGAAGCTTTTCTTTGTCATATAAAAGTTCCTATTAAAAAAAAGGGAATAACAAAGGTTCAAATATGCATGCCACAAAAAGCATAAAGGGATATAAAATTGTGTGATAAACCTCTGACCTCGTGTGTCTCAGTTGCGAATTCAAAGTTAGGTCCTTCGACAATTGCATCAACGGGGCAAGCTTCTTGGCAGAAACCACAGTAAATGCATTTTGTCATGTCGATGTCGTACCTGTAGAGCTTCTAGATCATTACTACACATGAAAATGGTTGAAAACAAAGCATTTGGCTAAGTAAAGGGATCATGACCTAGTGGTTCTACGGCTTCCATCTTCCCGCTCTTCTGCTTCTATTGTGATTGCTTGAGCTGGACACACCTGATAAAATAGACAAGTATCCCCTCTCAAAATCACTAATATTCAAATGATTCTCCTAATAACCAGGAAGAATTCCATAGGCATCAGAGCTATGGCGTTTAGATTAAGCATAAGCATGGAACGAAAGACTCACAGCTTCACAGAGTTTGCAGGCAATACAGCGTTCTTCCCCAGTAGGATAACGACGAAGAGCATGTTCACCACGGAAACGAGGACTCAATGGACCCTTCTCAAATGGATAATTGATCTGTATTGAATACACAAGAAACAGCTTCAGAAACATACAAGAGTTTCTTTCAATCTCTAAAACATTTGGAAAGACGGGAACAAGATGTTGTAACTCACAGTAACTTTGGGATCAAAGAAGTACTTGAGGGTCAACGACAAACCACGCACCATTTCAGTAAGAAACAGTGTGTTTATGCTCCGTTCAAAGACTGCAAAAAAAAAACGCGACGATAAGTATGAGAAAAGAAAAGGTGTTGTAGATCTCATATAAACTACCAGTATTCCAGTCCTTGGAGATTTCTTTAGCAAGTTGCTCCTCTTCTTCATCATCTGAAACAATTACAGAAGCAAACACACACATGAGTCATAAAAGAATTAGAAAAACGGTGTAAGGCCACAGTAAAAACGTTGCCCATCATCAACATACACCAAGATTCCATAGAAAGAGGTGAACTCACTCACACTTCAACCTGAATTTCTAAAAAAAAGCCCCCCAAAAAAACAGCGGAGGTAAATACCTTTCTTGGAGCCGTAAGAAATAGCACGGGACTCAAGTCCAGAAATATGAGATCCTTGCAAAGCTTTCCCTGACAAAACCTATCGAATGGAGATTAGTAATAACAGACCTACCCATAACATACACACACCATATCAAGAAGATTAGTAATAAGATTAGCAAAAACGCTCTCAAAAAAGATAATCGAGTCTGGCATGCCAGATTAGATCATGATAAACTATCCCTCATATGATTCATCTATATATCAGACAGATAAAATTCAATCCCTATCACATTCTATACTCACTCTACAAATCTAGTGAATTAAGAAAATTGGCGCATAAGCTTTGGTTTGAATCAGACAGTTTCGATTTCAGACACAATCCCGAAGAGACAGAGAATCTAATTTGATCCCCACAAAACTCTAAGAGACATCCAAAACAACAAGTAGAAAGTAAAAGACAAGGGGAGATACATACGAGATGGCGAGCACGGAGAGTATTCAGTGACCTACGAGCCAACATCGAAGCCATTGATGGACGACAACACAAATGAAATCCTCCCTCAGAACCAACAACAGAGTTCTTTGAATCCAATTTTAACCACCCCTTTCTTCTACAATAGCAATTAATTTTCTAACCGGTAACATAACCGGTTTATGAAATTAACCGAATCGTGCAAAGCGCCATTAAATCCTCAACTTATTATTAATTTTTTTTTGTTAGCCTATAATGGCTAACAAAAATAGTTGACAAAAAAAATAAAATCCTCAGATTAAAATCAACGAAGAGTGTGTTAAAAAAAAAAGAAAAATCAACGAAGAGCCTTTAAATCCAATTTAGTCCCCAATTTAATATAATATTGCAATTTAGTCCCTGCACAATAGCCCATTGAATTTTTGAACCGGTGACATAACCGGATTATTAATTAACCGAATCATTCCCTTTCCCGGATATACAATCGGAAGAGTTACATCTTTTAACACTTCTTTACAAAGAAAAGAAAAGAAAAGGGGAAAATCGCATAAAAATTTTTAAGGTGATAATCATTTACATTTTAAATCCTAGAGTATTTTACAAGCTTTTAAACACTCAAATTGGCAAATTTAGCATATTAAACCTCCAATCTAACTTATTTGTACATCAAATTAAAAATGTAATACGGTACTGTTCAAAAGCGATAAAGTGTTGGTTTATTTTTTTTTAAAAAAAATATTTTACTAATAAATAAATATAAAAATACAGAAAAATATTAAACTTCATTAAAATTTCTTTAAAAATTCAAAAATCATAAAAAATCATAAATCATAAAAAATCATAAACATTAAAAAAATTACTAAATAATTAAATTATTTTATTAATAAAATATTTAAAATAGAAACTATTAAAACAAATAAAAACTCAAAAGAAATTATAAAAAAATCCAAAATAAGAAAATTCACAAAAGTTTAAATAAAATAAAAATTAAATTTAAATAAAATTAAAATAAGAATAATAGATAAAATGAATATAAATTTATGAATAAATAATTTTATTTGTTTTATAAAAAATGAGAAAAACTATATTTAAAAAAAAAAAAAGAATCACTATCTTCAAATGATTCTCGTAAACCAAATCAAAGCAAACAAATTAAGTTCCAAGTCTTTTATATATTTTGCTATTTTTATGATTTTTAGTGATTTTTTATATTTTTCTGTATTTTTATATTTATTTATTAGAAAAATATTTAAAAAAAAACCGACACGTCATCACTTTTGAACAGTACCACGTTACATTTTTAACTTGATGTACAAGTAAGCCAGATTAAAGGTTTAATATGCTAAATTTATCGTTTTAAGTGTTTAAAGTTCTTGTAAAATACTCTCAGGATTTAAATGTAAGTGGCTGTCATCTTGAAGGTTTTTTTATGCGATTTTCCCAAAGAAAAGTAAATAAGTTTTTTTTTTCATCAAGTGAACTGCTTTTAAATGTACACATTACTTGTAAAAAAGACAGCTTCTTTAATGTTTTTTCTTCAAGTAATTCACAACACTTAGATTTGTAACAAAAAAAATCCACAGCTTCTATTTACAGAGAAAGATCCCAAAAAAGGAGATCATCTTCAGGCCTTTTGTATTCACTTGCTGTGAAATGTGAATCCAGGTTCTTCGATTCTTGAACCACGGTAAGAGCTTTGAAAGTTTTGAAAGAATCAAGTAGATGTTCTTCGCCACTGTTTCTTGCTTTTCATCTGACTCAACTTAAAAGGGCTCCAGCTTTTCCTGCGTTTTGACGTCTCACAAAAGAGACCAGAAGCAAGTGCTTGTTGAAGCCAAAGCTCAAACTCTTCTTCATCTTCATCCATCTTCTCAACGTCTAAATCCCAAGGGAACCTACTAGAGTTTGATCTCTGCGTTGTCTTTTCTAAACCAACCATGTTCACATGAAAGCTTGGCCTATGCGTGTTTGGTCTACACGCCATTCCCTATTTAACACAAAACCATGTTCATGTATCTGACTCATCTTCACATACGAGTAATCTGGCAAAAGAGAATTCACCTGGCAAATGGCCCATTCTGAGACGTCAAAGATTTTGCTTTCCGCACAAACAAAAGCACGTGGTATCTCAATCTTTTAAAGGACATGAAAATAAAACAAAGTAATTTATGTTGAGGAGGTACTAACTAAAAAAAAGATTCATTCATTATTGCAAGTAACAAAGGAAGAAAAGGAAGTTTATACTAACCTTATGTGCTCTCTCCAAGGGTAATGTCCCTTTGAGTTCCACCCACCCATCTCCATCTTTGGCTCGATGATATTGACCACAATCCTGTACATTTAACCAGATTAGATGGTCTGAAAGAGAGCATTCAAATAACAGCATCTTGCCTGGTTTTGATTCAATCACCTGGCACCATCTTGCCTTTGCTTTAGTTCTACTGGTGCATACCCATATGTGTGAATTGCCACATTTTGTACAATGTATACACCTTGACTCTTCTGATCGATAACCAGGACCACTCTGCAAATGAAAATGAAAAACATACTGAAGCATGAGAAGTCTGACTAACACAGAAGCAAAAAGATATCACACAGAAGTAAAAAACAGAGTAGCTAAACCTGATGTGAAGTATGAGATGTCTGACAAACACTCCTAGTCCTAGACTCTTCTTTTCGTAACTGCTCATCGTAATCTCTCTTCTTTACAATATCAGAAAGAACCTGAGATACAAAGAAGCCTTACATGTCTACTATATCAAGAACATAAGCATCACAATTACATATTCAAGACTCCACATCATCCAATTACCTCATAAGCACATTGAAGTTTCTTGAATGATTCACTTGCCAAAGGACTTCCCATATTTTTATCAGGATGAACCAACATTGCCTAGAACAAAAAGCACATACTACTTCATTAACCTTCTTAGAAACTGCATTAACCACTACTCAGCATTGGAAATAAAGGACCAAACCTTTTTCCTATACTCTTTCTTAAGCACTGCGTCATCAATCCTTTTATGCCGAGGGAACCCCAACGCCTCGTAATGATTCAAACATTTCAGTATTCTCTTCATCTCATCAGCTGAACCTGCTTCTACTTTCACTATCTTAACACTAGAAATCTCCTTCACGCTATTAACAACAGTTGTAGTAGGAGCAGTTGGTTCAGCAGATGACTTATTCTCATGAACCTTTCTCTTGGTTTCTTCTTTTTCAACGGGAACTGAAGGATACTCAAATTCCCCTACGTAGTCTTCTTCTATGATAGTTTCTTCGACTTTCTTTGGTTCCTCACGTTGTGTTTTTTCACTTAGGTTGTCACACCATTGCAGAAGACAGTTTAATACATCGTTGGACAAGAAAGCAAGATTCATTGAGAGCAATACACCAATCCATCCAAGTCTGACTTCGACACAGTACATTGCATACAAGGCCGCCATTAGAACCACTAGACGGGCATGGTTTATGGAGAATAAGTAGCCTAAAACCAAACAAAACTAGATCAAATTAAAAAACCATGTAAACAATATAGATCAAGCTTAATATAGACTCAATCATTGACCAATAACCTGAAAGACAACCTAGCAAACTAATCTAAAGAAACAGTTTGGAACTTGCCTCCGACAATAAACAATGTTCCGGTGATCCAAAAGTTTGCATACATCCATAAAATCAAAATACCAAATAGTCCTACAATAAAGAGACCAGGAGTGCAACCAAGATTCAAAACAATAGCTGCAGCAACTCCCTGCAGTAGGATCAAACCCAACTCAATCAACAATCTTGAAATAATCAGTGGAGGAGGATAATAGCATCTGAGACAATACCATACTGAGGAGAACATAGAGCAAGCAAGATAAGGAAGTCAAGCTAAGGAAGCAACTCCACATTATCAGAAGCAAAGAAGCTGAGCCCAACTTGGCACTGCAACGGAAACCCCTGAGAATGCAATCTTTCCAGTAAACAATTGACAGACGAATAAGTCCTAATAGCTTCCCACATCCACTACACACCAATGGCCAGTGACGCTCCACAAGCTCTCCCATCTTCTCAACAAAACTTCTCATAGCAGAACAAGCATCAGAGCACATATGTTTCTGAGACTTCACCCATTTCCAACCTTGTTTAACCAACCCAATATCCTCAATAGCTCAAACTCCAACAACAAGAGGATTAAACTGCCAAAAAAGGCCAACTACTTTTTAATCCCTAACTCACAAAGACAGAGATTGGATGCTGTGATAACAGAACCAATGAGACTCATCTCTTTGATCTATTTGTAAGATTCACAAGATAGCTAACTCAAAGAGATAAAACTTCACAGAGAAGATATTACAAGAAGCAACACACAGTAGCAAGAAAGACAATCTGGTCACGCTTATTCGTTCAACGCAAGTCTCTTCTCATGCACGTTTCCCCAAAACAACAACAACAGATTAAAGACAAAAGGCGAAGCAGAGCTCCGCAATGTCTGAAACAGACAACAAAAAAGAGGAATCTTTTATCTTTTGTTTTTTCCTTTTCAGCAAAAACAAGTCTTTGCTTCTATGTCCAAGACACTCTCTAAATTATTACATCATGGTCCCACTTTTTAAAAAACTGATCCTTGTGTTCGGATCCATGAATAAATAGCTTCGTCGGAGAATCACCACCACCGACAAGAACTACCCGGGAGATAGAAAAACAAAAGGAAGAGGCTTTAGTTGAAGTAGATTGTGAAGGGACACGGTGAGGTTTAAAGCTATTGAAAGTTTGAAACCCAACAAAGAGCTCGTGCAAAAAAGCGAAAAAACAAAACTTGAAAAGTTTCAAAACGTGAGAGAGAGAGAGAGAGACGACAAAGTTTCGTGTATATATAGAGAGAGAGCAGATATAATCATCCATAGAGAAGAACGCGAGAGAGGGTAAGTCGTTAATTAATTAGCCTCGGTTGGTTTGTTGCGTATTAATCAGTTTTAGGGGGTGATTGGTTGTTGCTCTAGAAAGTCAAAAATTAGTTTAGATACATATAACTCAAGTTCATCAAGTTTTCATTTCTTTCAAAAACCTACAGCAAAAATATCTCTAGAAAAATAAAAAAATGGCTGTAGAGAACTTTATTTCTAGAGCAAAAAAATTAGTGCTTTACAAAGGTACAGTAAAAGAAGCTACCGCAAATAAATATAAAGATTAATTTCTACAGCTAAAACATAAAGTTACAACCCTTGCCAATCAACCCCTTAGTTATTGTGCTAAATAAACACACTTGCTGAAGTAGTTTTACTCTTGTGGGTCCCGTAATGGATTTAATCGAATTGTTTACTTCTAATTATTCTCGTAATGGATTTTCTTACACAAATTAAAAAGCTAATAAATTTATTGTTTACTTCTAATTATTCACTTTTTTTTTCAATTTAGTTGTGTTTTGAATTTTTGCACACATATTAATAAAACATTTAATTTTTTATATTTTCTAAAAAAACATAATTAACTATACACCTAACCACATTTTGATCAATATAAAAATAGAATAGTAGATAAAATTAATAACTTTTACATTGAAAATATAAAAGGACACTTATTTTAAAATGAAATTTTTTCCTACAATGATAATTAAATTGAAACGGAAAGAATAATACATTCTGTTATTTGATTATATTAATTAATAAGTTAAAAGAAATAATAATAATAAGAATAAGTTAAAAGAATATGGATAAAAATTGATCAATAACAAAATATGGATAAATGAAAAAAAATTATCAAATAAATATATTGAAAACTTAAAACAATATTTAAAATGAAACAAAATTTTAGATTTTTTTTTTTTTTTTTTTTTTGTAACTTTCATTCTTAAATTAAATAAAAACATAAAAAGTTTACAAAAGCCTTTTGTGGCTCTAGTTTTCCAACGTTAAAACACATACCAAACAAAAGTGACCCATTATCTTTAGTTAAGAAACCCAATAGTGAAGCCCAAATAATAGTTACGGAGAAGTCGAGGTTTTTTGGTGAAGGGAGGAGGAGAAGTCATTGATCACGAAAGACGAAGCCAACTCTGCATCATAAGTGACGACCGTGATGGGTTTGTATCTCTGAAAGTTTGGATTTTGTTCCTGATCTGTCTATCAATTAGTTTAAAGATCTGGTCCACAGACCTGAAAGTGTTTGAGTGCAGTCGAGCATTACGTTCTGTCCAAAGCCAATATAGCGTCGCTTGCCATGCTTGAAGAGTGAGATTCCTCTGTAATGCAGGAGGAGGAAGGGAAATCATCTGATCCATGGTATCTTGCCAGTTCCTAAGAGGAATAATCTGCAATCTTCTAGCAACAATATTCCACAGATCATTACTATAATTGCAACAGAAGAATAGGTGGTCACGTGATTCTGGGAGTGAGTTGCAGAGGAGACAACGATCAACCGTTTGGACTCCCCAGTTTAGAAGTCTGTCTCGGGTCGGTAATCTGTTCTGAATCACAAGCCACGCATGGAAGCTGTGCCGAGGAATAGCTCTGGAGATCCAAACCGCCGCAGCCCAAGTAACATCCGGTCTCGATTCACTTAGGTAATCATAGAGAATGCCTGTTTTGTAGCTCGAGTGAATTTTACCATTGATTTCCCACTCATAGTAATCTTGATTGTCTGTCAACTGCAGTGTTGTTAGGAATGTATACACCTGAAGTTGAGCTTCTGAGCGTGCTGGTGGAAGGCGCCATGATCCATTAGAATACAACGACGAGACTGTGGCTTGTAATTGAATCCCCATTCTTGAGTTAGAGCCCGCCAAATATGTTTGCAAATCACCAACGGTGTCCAGTTGTCATGCCAAAATCTTGCTCTTTCTCCATTCTCTACCCGCAGTTTGATTAACGGGAATACCACCGTCTTTAGCTTCAGTAACTTATTGACTAGCCATGAATAAGATTGCTTCGGTGATGTTGTCCAATAATTATGCACAGAGCCTTTGAGTATTACTTCTTTAAACCATTGAACCCATACAGATTCCGGCCTGAAGAAGAGAAGCCATAGGAGACGCAGAGTGCACGCTTTATTCCAAGTAAGTAAATCCTTCACGCCAAGACCTCCTTGTCTTTTTGTCAAAACCACAGTTTCCCATGATACTCTTGCTGAGTTGTGACCTTCTAAGTTACCTTTCCACAGGAATATACTACACAGGGAATTTATTCGGTTGATACACGCTTTTGGTAGGACGAAAGCCGAGCACCAGAAAGTTGTTATTCCTGCAACGACAGTTTTGATAAGAAGTAACCTTCCTGAGAAAGATAAAGATTTCACCGACCAGGAGGAGAAACGGGTTTTGATTTGATGGATCAAAGGCTCACAGTTGGTAAGAGATAGCTTCTTGGAGTTCAAAGGGACACCCAAGTAACGGAAAGGGAGAGAGCCAAGTGTCATTCCAGTCGAAGCTTGAATCAGGTTTGTTTCAGCTAAAGACAATCCTGATGCATAGAAACTAGTCTTTTGCATACTCACCGCCAAACCTGACCTTTTCTCAAATTCTTTTAACACTTGTAGTACCTGCTGGACAGAGTTGATGGAACCATCTATGAATATCAGGAGATCATCAGCGAATGATAGATGGGTGAGCTTAGTGGGAGAGCAATTGGTGTGGTAGTTAAATTTATTTTGCCGCGCTGCGTTGTTGAGCATATGAGAGAGACAGTTCATAGCGATGACAAAAAGATAAGGTGAGAGTGGATCTCCCTGTCTGAGACCTCTTTTTCCTTTAAAAAATCCATGCACAGACCCATTATAACCAACCATGTAACTTGATGTGCAGACACAAGCCTTTAGCTGTCGGATGAAACGAGTTGGGAACTGCAGTCCTTCAAGACAGGAAAATAAAAAGTCCCAAGAGAGAGTATCAAAAGCTTTCGCTATGTCAACTTTAATGGTAATCTTCTTGGTTCCTTTATTTTTGTGATAGCCATTAACCAGTTCACCTGCTAGTATTGTGTTTTCAACCAATAATCTGCCCTTTACGAAAGCTGTTTGGCTTGGTAAGATAAGAGTAGTCAGTAGTGGTTTGAGTCTCTTGACCAATAGCCTAGAAACAACTTTGTAGACTGTGTTGAGGCAGGAGATCGGTCTAAAATCACTTATCTTTGATGCTCCAGGAAATTTAGGAACCAAGGAGAGTATTGTTGCATTTGCTGTGGCAGGGAGGAAATTGGTAGCGAAAAAGTTTTTGACAGCTGATATCACCTCAAAACCAATGGTCTCCCACGATGATTTGAAGAACGCTGATGTTAAACCATCCGGACCTGGAGCTTTATTAGGGTTAAGCTTGAAGAAGGTTGATTTAATCTCCTCATCAGTCGGGATGGATAACATATTTTGGCTCAGGTGGGAGGGAAACGAGTAGGAAGTGAGTTCACCGAACCAGTGGGGATGCGTGATGAGAATGAGAGGCTGGTGACCAAGTACTGATCGGAAGTGACTCACAGCGTGATCACTCATTTCTTGCGGGTCAATAATCCAGTTACCAGTAGCCGTAAGGAAAGCTCTAATAGCATTGTAACTAGCCCTGGTCTGACAGATCCTGTGAAAGTAAGTGGTGTTTAAATCTCCTTCTCTAAGCCAATTGATCCTTGATTTTTGTCTGAAAAACATCTCCTCAATCTCTCGTAAAAAATTCCACTTTCTGTGCAGATCTCTTTCCTCCTGAAATGTGATAGGATTTGGGTTCTGCAATGCTTGTACCTGCGCAAGTTGTAACAAACTATTAGTCTCGCTCACTCTCTGCTGGATTTGTGAATAATTTTCTTTATTTAGAAGTTTCAGATCACTCTTGATTAATTTCAGCTTCCAACACAGTTGAGCAAGAGTTTGACATGTGTTTCCAGTCTGAATCCAAGCGTCATGAAGTAGCTGAGCAAACCCAGGGTGCTTTGTGAGATAGTTTTGGAATTTATAAGGCTTAGAACCAGCTGAGGGGAGGTTAAAAGCTAGGTCTAGGACACAGGGTGAGTGATCGGAGAACAAGGGAGGGAGATAAGAGGCTAAGGAATGGGGAAAAGAAGCCACAAATGTATTATTAACCATTAGTCTATCAAGCTTCTTGGAGATGGGACTTGCAGGTTGAGAGTTTATCCAAGTGTAGGTGGGTCCAATGTAACGAAGATCAAACAGCCCCATCTGTGTGAAGCAGTCTCGGAGCTGGTACATGAGATAGTCAGGAACTACAACATCAGGATCAGAATGCTCCATTGGATGGAGAATTTGATTTAAATCCCCTCCTAAGATCCAACAATTGTTTTCCAGGTC